TTAAAGATGAATTCAAAACATTATTTTTTTTTCTGTTAGTTTTTTTGTCCACTGTAACGATTGTACCTCATTTTCTACAAGTTTAGACACTTGGGAATCGACATTCTATGTCACCTTAATATTTTAATAGAATTAATTTTCTTAGGAAATGCATTTTGTTATTACTATTACTGATTTGAGGAGAATGTTTTACATATATCTGAAAGAACATCTTCTGCACACAGCTCGTCATACTGTGGGACTGAGCTGAACTTTAATAAAAGGAATTATTTAAAGTCTGCTCGAAAATCAAATTAATTTTTACTTGTCTTTGTTTCAACATACATCTCATGTACATCCAAATAACTTTCACTTCACTCAAAACAGATTGTTTATGACTGGCCAGCATCTCTGAAGTGCACCCAATTCATACTGAAAACTTGACTTTTGTTTTTAAGTGAAAGTGACAAGGGCTGGCCTCGGGGGCAGTTGGAAGGGCAACCCGTTCTCCAGAGCTGCTGCTGCACCTCCACATTCAAACTCTGTGGGGAGTGTTCCTAAAGCCCAGAAACCTTAAGCCGTGCATTTCTTTTGCCACCAAACCAAATATGACATATATCCCCACAGCAGTGTGCTTTTAATACTGCATAATCTAACTCTGCTGACTATAGCAGCACAAGCTTTTTAGAATCAGGTGCATTTACTGTAATTCCTCAAAGAGAAACTTAATGGCAATGTTAAAATTGAATCCTGGATTCTTTTGACAGGATGTCTGAGGCCACATTGCTGGATGAAAACTGACAGTGAAGATAGCAGGAGTTGTGCTGTTGATAACCATTTAATTCAGTCAAAATAAGTAATCTATACGGATTTTTCACTCCTTATTTTCATAATGGATTTACATATAATTTACACGATTTTAATAATTAAGATCATGAAGCTTTTTTATTTGATCACATTCAGAGATCTAAGTTTAATTGATAAAGTAATACAGCCACTGTGGTTAACCCTGGATCGTTCTTAGTCCTAATTGAATCTTTTTGTGTTGTGCTTTTCACAATGTGAATATGTGGGACTGTGTCACAGTAGACAATTTTGATGAAAAGCTAAAGTCTTGGGTCATAAGTAAATCAAAAACATGATGTTGGCTACACCGAGATCAGATCCCCAGGAGGAAATACTTTATTATAACACCATACAACAGACCGCATTCTTATTTCAGTCACTTCATTAACCCTGATGTCAATTTCTCATATTTGCTGAGACATGAGCAATTCTCTAGGGCATATTGTATCAAGAAAAGCTGCGTCAGCATGAGAATCCTCAGAAAAAATTCAGCTGGGAGAAAGAAAAGCTACAGCAAACACATCCAGTTTCTTTTTTGATTTATTGCACACTGTAATCACAATAACCAAAGGCTCTGATGTGCAGATATTCCAGTACAAGCTGATTTATATTTGTGCCACAAAGTTGTTATACTTCCATGTAATTTGTTTACCGTTGTTTGAATGTGCAGTTTTCAAATGTGCATGCATGCAAACATTTCACTGTGCAAAAGTGAGCACACTTGGAAAATAACTGCTGACGTCAGCAGTGTGCAGTGGAGAATGGATATAGGCCAAAAATGGGGTTGTGAAATGGTTAAAAGTTCGGTTTGAAAAAATGGCTGAAGCAGAAATAAACCAATCATACATATAAACCAAAAAGGCTGGAGTCAATAGTCCACAAAAACAAGTTTCTGCCAGTGCAGAACTTTGCATTCGCAGCTCAAACACAGTGTATTTCATTGAACATCCTCAAATATTTACAGATATTAGGCAGGTTAAGATAGTCCTGGCTCTACTTAGAGAAAATAACATTTTATACATGTACATACACACATGAGCAAACTAATTTTATACTAAAGTTAAACGGTACAGTTTTGTCATGAAATATTAATAGGACATACATAAATGACTAAATTCTTAAAGACAAACCCAATGAGGTCACATGTGCTGGCAGGTGGTACAAGTGAACATCTCCATGTCCCTTTTTATTACTTAGCTCTGACCCAGATCAGCGTGGTAGAATAATTGGAGACACAATTGATACAAAGGCAGTGAAAAGAGATACTGATGTACTGACAGATGTGTCAAGAAAGTGACAGCAAAAAAACAGAAAACAAAACTCTAATGCAATAAAAATTATAGGTAAAAAAAAACATATCCCAATATTCAGCCTTTAATTTATATCATTATGTGTTTACCCTTTTAAATCTCAATAAGCATTCATGCAGCAGCAGAATGTTTTTCTGTGTTTTTACTTCCAAGAAGATACAAGCTTTGAATCTATTAGTTTTTTGCTGGAGAAAATCCATTGGTGTGTTTGCTTTCTCAAACATAGAACAGAAAATCACAGGTGCTAAAAATCTGGAACAGGCCTCAATCTTGCCGATGTTTAAATACAGGCTGAAAACAGTTCAACTCAGCTGTGCATATGGTAAGGGAATGTGTTTTATCTGCACTCTTTGCTTTTAATGTAAATAATTCATTATTATTTTATGTGATACTGAATGTCTTTATTTGCTTTTTGTGATTTTATGTAGCTGTAAAGAACTTTTAATTGCCTTGTGCAGGAATTTTGCTCTACAAATAAGCTTGCCTTGCCTTGGCATACGTCCTTGCATAATAAAGGACATTTACATCTAAGTGCTTTTACCAGATTGTTAGGATAGATGGATTTAAATGCTTAACATGTGCTCATATACCTAGGCATTTAATAATGTTTCCTGATTAAGGGTTTGTTAGTATAGCTAAAATGAGGTATGACAGGCCTTATACTTCCTGTAGAAGTTGGTCAAATGTATTTTTCAAATTTAGACTCCATAGATCTATTATTATTTCTTTCTTCCAGATTTGTTAATTGTAAATGGAGAATATTTATGATAAACACTAAAACAACACCTTATATAAAAATATAAACATACAGATATGAATATCTTTTCAGTTGTCCTTTGTAACGATGGATGTTTACTTTTGAAAGGTAGCTCATGCCCCTTTAAAATCCTCCAAATGTTCCACTGATCCACTCAATTTAACCTCTTGTCTGACCAAGTGCATGCATTCCTCTTTTGGTCAATAATTAATCTCCAGAGTTACACTCCTGCAGAAGAATCTGGATAAAGCCAAGCTTGTTTTAGGCATTAGCCTGCGCTTGACGACTAAAACACTAACGAGATAGTGATCAGAGAGGGCCCAACTCCAAAGGCAGGCTGCTTGCCTGGCAGCGCTTGATAATCTCTTCGTTGGTTTCACTCAGCTCCCTTTAATCTGACTTCACATAATCCTTTTTTTTATACCCTCCTGATCAAGTAAACGCTTAATTATGGCTAATGAATTCCATCCAGAGCTTGGGTAAACATGTCTATCAAACAAGATCATGCTGATTTTTAACTGAAGATAGAGAAGAGGGGGAGAAAAATAAAAATATGAAAAAGCTAAGCACTAAGCATGAACCTTTTCTGTGCCAAAATGACCATGGCGTCCTGTAGGACTTGGAAGAGAGACAGTTTCTTATCTGTAATGACAGTAATTTACAGAAAAAAGGAGATAATAGAATTGTACAGTTATGTTGTCTTTTGTTAAATTTTGAATTAGATTTTTACTGTGAGAATATAATTATATATAGGACAAAAATGCAGGTATCAAGACATCTGATTTCCAAACTGATCAAAGCAAATTAGAAATGATAGATGCTTATCACTGCATGCTCCCGTGATCATTAATCAGAAAGGTATCTTAACAGTACCACAGTTAAACATGGGAATGTTCCACTATGAGAAACCTGTGGCATGGCAATGTGATTTATAGCTCAAATTTAGTTATTTGAATATGTTTTTCAGCCATGAACAAAAGCAAAATTGTATGTGTCGTATATAGATCAGTTGGGAACAAAGCAACAGACCACACCAACAATGTGACTGCAGGCTGAGAAATTTGTTTTGATGTAGATCACCAATTATTCACAAGCTTCACTTATTCTTGGTGCATTGCAGCAAAACAGCAAGTCTTATAATTGAGCTTGGCATGTGTGTTTTTTCTGAGAGAGTGATTTGATTTAATAGTGTATTGTTGTCCGTCTTGCATTTCTTCTTCGGGATTCCTAAGAAATGTTGCTTTTGTTTAAATTGGCCATTTGGATACATCACAATGAATGTGTTTTCTAGGTTTTTGTTTCATGAATTGTTGATGAGGGGTCTGCAGATAGCAGGAAGGCCAAAGACAAAGGATCAAGCACTCACAGTGTTTCTACAATTGCCTAAGCACACGAGGGCTGCTTGTAGCCAATTGTATCATTGGATGGAAGAAGGTTGAATACTTTTATCCTGATTATTTACAGATTTTATTCTCATTGAGAAATCACATCTTTCTGCAAAATACAGGCTGCATATTTTTTTCAAGATGAAGTAAAGATAATAAAAGAGTCTCAATAAAAAAAAGTGAGAATGTTTGTGTGTGTTTTCATTGCACAGGAGTTTGCTGATTGGCGACCCAGCTGCCCAACTATGTTATTTATTCTGAGGAGGCGGTCACACTGAAACGATTTACCACGGCGCTACACAGGTTATGATTATGACACACTCCATCAGTTTAAGAGGTTCATTGCTTATCTTGGCCATAAATGTTGTTTACTGGAGGATTTGAACAATTTACGAGACATGACTGTTTACTTGGGGTTGCCATTGTCAGTCTCTACCCATGCTTGACAGTTGGACCAGGGCAATTTGTGCTTGGCATCCTCGAATAGGTTTCCCCTAATGAGACTGATAGAATGACCATTCATCCACAGGGGGGCTCTTGATGTGCCACAGTTCAAATGTTAATCACCCAAGCTACTTTGGCAAATTGACAGGGCTCCATTCATTACTTGCTTTCTGAATGTGTTCTGTATAAGAACTTGGCTTGTGTGGCACCTCTCATTTCATGATTTCGGAATAGATGCATGGAGTCACTGCTGAGCCTGTTTTTCAGTCTCCACCTTACCTTTTTCTCTTTTTTTTCGATGTTAACGGACAGAGCGATGGCACCCTTATACGCCAATGGCACTGCTTTCAGGGATGGCACTGTGGCCTGCTTACAAGGTCCCATCCGGACTCCCTCCATCATCATGACAGCGTTCACTGGGAGTTCAGTCTCTCGGACAAAAGGGTCTTGTTTGCACATTAAACTCAGCTAACCAACCCTGCTCTGGATATTCAAGACCTACTCATTGAATTAAGACAACAAAACAGCTGTGATAAATGCAAACGGCACTCTGAAATTTCAGGTGTGGTCAAACATTATTAGAACAGAAAGTAATAAAACATATTTTTACATCTCACAGTGCATATAGTCAAAGTGACATAAGGTCCTTTATTACAACATATAAATGATCGTCACTGGGTCTTAAAATTAGTCAAATATGTATTAGTGTGCAACACTGTACTATGATTATTATTAATATCGTTGCCACTGAACACAATCAAAGCCCAAAGGCAGCATCAGTGCCTGAAAAAGCAGGAAAAAATTAAACAGGGCAGGTAGCAACCAGGTACTGATGATCAAATGCATTTGATTAATCGGCAAGTGTGAAATCCTCTACAAAAGCAACAGGGTCAGTGAGTTTCCTGGACTGGAGAATTCCGTATGTATAGTATCATACAAATAAGGAAAAACATCAGTTCTCAGAGAAGAAAGTGTTATATGTGGTTTGTTCAAATTTGGATACCGGGAGAAAAAGCCTCTTCTCTTGAAACAGAACACGATCACTTTGCTTAGGTTTGCAAGATCGGACTTATGCATCCCAAAAGCTCTTTGAACAGACAAGTGTTTTTTGCCCGTTATTCACGGCACCAGTTAGAAGGGAAAAGATGCAAACCCTGTAATCACTGAATCCACCATAAACTCTTCTGTACACTAACATATACAAAGTCAAATGTGAGGGCATTGGTCTGACACTTGAAGCTAATCTGAAATTGAATCATCCAACAGGGCAATGATTTCAGAGCCAGCACCGTATCTACAATAAAATGGCTGAAAAAGAAAAGAATCGAGACACTTGAATGACCCATTCAAAGTCTAGACCACTACCTGATTGAAATGGTGTGGAACTAAAAAGAGCTGTTTAAATACTCTGCAGTAGTTTTTTTACTTTCTTTTTTTCTTGACTAAATTAACCTTATGAAAGCTGAGCCAAGAAAAAAAAGTCATACGAATAATAACCTATTTTATACGTAGTCTTGAACAAAATAAAAAAATAAAAAAACAGAACAAACATTATTTACACGTGTGTTTAATCAAATTCAATTTGTATGCTGTGCACATTTTTAGAAAAGGAAATGAGTCTTAGATATCTATGTATCAAACATGATACAGTGTTAAAGCATTAACTTTGAGAATTTTTTTTATTTAAACATTGGTATTTTCAACATGAAATTGTCTTTAAAAAAAGGAAAGAGAGGAACAGAAAATGCTTGAAAATATTTTTCCTTCTGTTTTTCATTGTGAGTATATATGAGTGTTAATGTATAATGTATCAAGAAATGTTTAATAAATAATGATGATGTGAAATATCTAATGTGTTTTCTTCTGAAGCTGTACCTTATTTCAAAATCCAGTCAAGATGAGTTTTGCTTTTTTTAATGAATTTATTATGTTTTGGTACCATTGAACTGAAAAAAATTTGTATTCATTAGTGTCGATATAGAGGCATACTCACTGTGGAATTTAGGGTAGCATCTTTAGACCCATTAGCTTCCAGTAAATTATGTGTTTAAGTTAATAAATCAAGTAAGTGACAGTGTGTACCCACACACCAAATAACCAGGACAAAACTTTGAGTATTTTCACATATACATTCGACTGAACCTCCTACTTCTGTAATCGATTGAATTTGCTGTCCTTTATGGATTGCTCTGTTTGCCTTCAGTACACAAAAGTTCCTTTGGTCATATTTCTGCCCTTAGATCAAAGCCTTACAGGTTGTTAGCATGGATTTGGCCCCAAATAGTGAACAACAATCTATATTTATATTGCATCTCAACAGGATGATGTGCAAATGATCCAGCTGTTTTGCAGGGATGTCTGGATGCTTTATCACTAAATGTACAACCACCTAATACAGATCCCCATGATTACACTTTACAAGTTCAAGACTTTCAGGACTCTTTCCTTAGCTGTGGTTAAGCCCTCAGTGGTACTAATGGAAGGCTGAACCGCACCTCCCTTGAAACAGTTGATAAATTACGGCAAAGTGTTACATTTCCAGAGGGGGATCTAGTAGTAAATGAGCCCCTCTCTTTTCTGAGGCATATCTGTGACACCAAATTTGGCCATATATCAAGGGGAACCTTGCTGTTGAGGATGATTCACTATCACAGATATGAACACGTATACAGCAGGTGGACTCATATTCCTCACCAGAATAATGCACACCAGTGAATGATTTCTTCTTTTGCCACATTAGATGCGTGTAAGAAACATCCTCTGCAGAGGCTCAGGATGGAGAGAGATGTTTGCATCTGTTGCTGACAGTGATAAAAATAAAACATTCAATGCAAAGCGACAGCCAACATGTCTTGAATCATTATTTTTTCAAGGTGTGGAAGATGCTCTATCATATTCTTAATAGTAGTATCAATCCCAACTCTGAAGCCATGTTAAACAGCCCACGGCCTGGACCCTCATTAAAATGTACATGGAGATAATAGTTAGAGTCTATGGGTAAGTAGAGTATTTACTGTAAATATGAAGTTTGGTTTAGATATCAGAATATCAAGAACAAAAGTTCTTGATATTCTGATGTTCTGAATGCCCCCCAGACAAAGACACAGGCTAAGGAATATCTCACTATCTCATAATTTGTTTTAGCATGGTTGCGTTTTGAATCACTTTATCCATTAGTTTTAGTTTTGCTTTCTGCCTAAACTCCAATGTTAGCTGGATTTTAGAATCATACCTGAATTCAAAACCAGTTCAGTAGTTTAATCCTATCATTATTGCCTGTTTATGTTTATTTCTTTTTCCCAATTAAACCTTAACATCCATGATGAGTCAATAATGTTGTTTCCTGGCATCAGAGGATAAGAAATTGCAGCTGGATCTGAGCTGTTTTAACAGAAAGATGTCTAACATTTTCTCATTCAGATGAGATATTTTTCTTGTCAAAACTGAGCGCGTGACCCCTGATAGAAACATGATTAAACCTTGGGAAATAGCTAAGATTTATTGCTTGACAGTAGCTGTCTTGTTTACATTGCCTCGGAGATGCAAAAAGAGAGGTAGAAAACATGCCATAAGTACACTGTTGTTTATCTAATCTCACTGAGAATGTGATACAACTGACATATAGTTACAAATGATCAGGATTGATTCAGTACTCTATTTGTCCTGAATAACCATGGGTATTTAGTCTACAAGTTTAAGCCAAACACAGAAAAATTCAGCGAGCATGAGGACAAGGTGAGGTTCATGTATTAGTGGCAAGTAAATACATCCTTTCCCACAATGAGTCAAATGAAAATCAATTTAGTGGTGAAATGTAGTATGACTCCACACAAATTGACCATTTGACCCATAATGTAAACAAAGAAAAATTATTCAGTGGAGCTGCTTGTTACAAGATATTTGCATGAAAAACCGACTGGAATCAGATTTAAAATAAAACCTAACCCTAACCCTGACATGATTAAATTGATTACTTCATGTGTGCATGTGGAATGAATATTTACTATCTGTACAAGATTAAGAGGAGTATCACAGATCACCAAAGCTAATAATTAAAGCCAACAGCAGCAAATCTTCCAGGCTCACTTTTTTTTTCAAAAACATTTTATTCTGCTGCCTGTGGTCAGCAAACACAGACTGTTCGATTGCAGCTCAGGAGATATGTCCTGCCTCTGCAAATATACTTCAGTGTGTCCATCAGCAACACAGTTACTGTTGCATCCTCAACATTTTACTGGGCCTTGTCCATAAATAGTTGCAGAATAAAAAATGAAAAATTAAGGAGGAATATCAGGGAGCTTTCCTGAAGTTTTTGGCCTCCCCTTAGGCACTGAAACTTTTAGGGCAAATGTGCCAGTGGGGGGAGAGGGAAACTTTGTTCTTCATGGAAGAGCTCACCTGGGAGACTGACAAGGCTTGCTTTATGGGTCTGCAATTTCCATCTTGTACAACATTTGAGTTAATAGAAGTCTTCATCCCTGACCACCCTCATCAAGAGCTTACTGCCAAGAAAATGATAGGCTAAGAATGCACATACAGAGGGGCTACTCAAAATGTAAGGAAAGGCAAAGAAATACCATTAAAAGTTAGATGAGATTCAGATATGATTAAATAATCAGATTTCAGTTCCCCCTTAAAGCACTGATACTGTTTGGATGGCTACCTTGGTACTGCTGAGCCACCAATCACATAAAAACATAGCTAGTCCCTTTTCCAGAAAATTGTATTGCCATCAGTCTATTTTCTGAAATTCAAAAGGACCTCCTGAACCTTTGAGCCTTTGAAGATTTGAGGTCCTTTCTCCCATATTGTTTCTTCAATATTGAAAAGACATGTGTGCGTTCAACCAGTAGAAAATATAGAAGACTAAATTTTAGCATTAATGTAGCAGTCTGAAATGGTGGAATATATAACTTGAAAGACACATTTTGTAATTTGCAAATTAAGGACTTCTGTTCTGCAGACATCCATTAGGAAGCATTGAGTTCTATACCTATCATAATTCCCTTTTTGTCAAAGTTTCTCACTTTTCTGCTTCATTTGCAGTCAGGAATGATTGTGGTATGAAATGACTGAAAAATGGTAGGCTACAAAAATGGTAGACGGACAGCACTGCTCTTTTCTAGACTATTAACTAGAGAAAGGACTTCGATGACATGCTGCTTTCACCCATTCATACACACATACATTTGTAGAGCATCCATTCATTTTCTATACCGCTTATTCCAAATGGGGTCGCGGGTTGACAACATGCGAGACAGGTTACAGGACAACATCACAATGGCACACAGAGACAAACAACCACACACACTAACATTGACTCCTAGGGGCGATTTGGAGTGTGCAATTAGGAAGCCAGAGAGTACCCAGAAAAACGAATGCAGACACGGGGAGAACATACA